ATCAAAATATGTTGCTGTAATTTAAAGAAAAACATGAATATGAATTAAAAATTGATCATTCCTGTTGAATTTTGGAAGCTTGTGTTTGACAGCACCACACACAGTAAGAAATGAATGAAGTGCATCCCTGCGATGTCCCAGTCCTCTCTCGAAACAGTGAAGAAGTTAGAATAAAAACATATTTAATCATAATGACATATGTTGCAGTCTTAGAGGCCTGTGTTTGTTTGTTTTTACTAAAAAAAAAGAAATGCAAACAATCAAGCAGATTGATTTATACATAAGCTCCACTTCCGCTCCATTATAGAAAACTGGCAGAGCATTAAACCTAAAACTGTTGTTTCACTAATTCAAATACAAATGCATGACACTACATTCCTCACAAACAACCTGTGTTTTCCTTGACTTCCTCTGTGCAGAACACGCTGCTGTAAAGTCCATAATAATCCAGAAATTTTCAAACAGCCACAGAGACACAGATTTGAGCTGCAGCGAGGTCAGAGCTACTCACCAACATCAGAGAACTGAAAGACTTTTCCACTCGCCATTCTTATAACCAATAGTCATCAGACCCATGTATAACAGCTAAAGAGACCGTCCACTTAAACTACATAAACCTCTCCTTCTGCCCCTGGGGTGAAAGGTTTCCTCTTTAAGCTGAAGTAAGGCTGCGATCTGGCGATGGGATGGCTTCCAAGACACTGACAGACATAGATACTGAGGCTCTCTCTCTCTCACACACTCACACACACAGCAAATATACACAGAGACACAGTCACAGCCATGATGAACTCCCAGAGAGACATATTCACACACTCACACACACACACACACAGTGAGGGGTTTGGGCATACGTGGATCTTGTGAGGTACCAGGCCAGATCCTAAGCCTCTGTTGACAAAACACAAACCTTTTACTATATATAACAATAGAAAGGTTTCCATGTTAAAGTCCTATGGAAATGACAGTTGTAAGACAGGGTTTTGGAAACTGGCTGTTGGAAGAGCATGTCGACAAGGGAAATAACTTTATAATTTCATCATAAATATCATCATTGCTCCATTAAGAATGAACTGCAAAATTATACATCCAAGTCTCCTGCAGACCAGACATTTCCATGATTATAAACAAGACTACTTATGATTCAGTCTGTAGTGAGTACAGGAACCTGGTGTTTTGTCTGAGGCAGTCAGTAAAGCACACAGTCACTTTCAGGTTCACCTGCTGATAACAGATTTGGACACGAATCTGACTCACTGACTCTTCTGTTTGTATAAGAGCCTGCCAAGACAGGAAACTCCTGAGTATTTTAATCACTCGACTCCACCCAGTTCACCTGGCGTACCCCGTGCAACCGGCAGGAAGAGTCTCCGCTTGATGCTCTCAGGCTAGTATCCAGGTGACATCAGTCAAATGTGTTTTCTCAGGTCAAATTACAATCATGGAGCTTTTGTATAAGTTTACAAAGAGTCAAACAAACATTAACAAGAAGATGATTTAATGTTATGAAAGTTAATTAATTAAGTTAGCATGTGAATTACTTTTACCCTCGTACCACATGTTTTTTGTTTTTTTTAGTGCAATGTCAAAACTGCTTATGTCAGATATTCCCTGATGCTGCACAGCACAATCCTTCTTTGCAAAAAATGTGGAAGCACGTAACTGGTACTGGACACTGATGAATGAACTTTTGATGTTTATCTGTTAAATATTTTCAGAACATACAGGCAAGATCTATTCCATCTTAATATGTGCATCATTTACAGAGGTTCAACACTTAATTAAATGGGCTGTAAATTTTCATAAACACAACATTTGCTCAAAGCTGATAATTTGAGATCATGAAATTGAGAGCATCGTCATGTTCAAATGATTAAACATTTTCCAGATCAATTAACGTCATGACTCAAAGTATTTCTCCAATTAGAGTCATCATTACACATTTACAGTTCAGTATGCTGTGCTAAATGACAAGAGCATTTTGTTTTATGATCAAAGTCAGAGAACAATTGATGGGATTACTCATGTAATGAAAGAGCAGTTCACTAAATTACTTGCTAAATGAAGGAGTCACACGCACATAAGATGGTGTGGACATTTCAACATGAAACGCTGAATAGCAAAATTCATTAATGCTTCCTCAAGAAAAACAGATTTTATGACTGATAAAACATGAAAGACGGAAACTATATGAAACTAAAAAGGAGAATTGAAATAAGCAATGTGATACAAAAAGATTGATATCATGCAAGCATTTATAAAGACACTGGCTCTACATTAGAGTTTATAATTATGATATGAGCAGGGCTGCACGATATGCAAAAAAAAAAGAAGTCATATTGCGACTATTTTGGCAGATATTGAGATTGTAATATGCGTTTGCGATTTCAGTTGGATTGGTCGTTTTTGCATTTCATTTACACTGAAAAAAATATAAAAATGATGATGATGTGATTTTTGTTGGGTCTTGTACCAAACAAACATTACGTCTGGAGAATGTGATTTGTAGGCCGGGGTGTTATACGTCTGTGTCGCTTTCTTTGTAATTTTGTTTAGCCACTTCTTTAAGTCCAGAATTCATCCACATTCATAAGTAATTTAAGAGTGTTGCAAAATATATGAAAATAGAATCTCCAAAAGACACACACTTATTTCCTCCTATTTTCCAGAAACATTTCATTACATAAGTAGTTGCTCCCAGATCAGTTGGTCACCACTGTTATTCTCCACTCCAGCAGATCACATGTCACAACATCTATAAAAATACAGGAATAGACTGACCTTGGAGGAGCATGTGCACGTTGTCAATGTCCAATGGAATGCCTCCATCGTCTTCCTCTGCACCACCTGAAGCCATGCGGTCTCCAACCACGGCACGGAATCCACCTCAGAAAGGTTCAGCAGACATGGATTACTAAATCATCTACTCAAGACAAATCCACAACTCCCAAAGTCCAAAAGTAAATGCTGCAGTGCAACATTTATGTCAGCTGCCTCCGCTGTCTGATTACTCACATTAAGAAAACACCCATCCACACCCTTACATTACCACACACACACACACACGCACACACGCACACACGCACATGCACACAAACACAGAAGCAAGTACACACATGCAAACAAAAAGCTCAAGGAAGAGGAATGATAGTGCTGTATGGAAAGAGCCTGCAGCACACTATCTATAATGTCTACAGTCAAATCAACATACCTGTAGCAGGGCTGTAGTCACCACAGACAGCTACTGTAGCACATATTACAATGAAGAACGCAGTGGAGTGTGAACGGTGTGCAGCAAATCTCCTCAGCTGTGTCCTTTCATATTGGCACAACTCTGTGTTGATCCACTGTGTTGAGTGGCTTCAAATAGGACTTGGCCTTTAGGTGCTCATAAATGAAACAAGGTGCCTCTTGCCTATCAGAGCGTGAGGACAAAAAAGAGTGGAAAGTCCCGCCCACGCTCACTGCCGGCCTGCCAAATCGCTCCTGCAGGCTCACGTAAAAAACTTAGTACCCTTTGCCTAGAAAGTAATCATATCCTGTCAAATCCTAAAGTTGACTGCTTTGGTAGCAAAGGCAGAGCTTGTTTCTGCCATTTCAGGAAACAAAGACACAACAAATATCTCTACTTACATCTATTATCTTGTCCTCTTTTCCTTGATTTTCTTGTATACTACTGCAATAAAGATACAGAAACCAGGACACTGGGAAGACCTTCAATTTGGTGCATTATTGTGGAATTGTTTCAGTTTCATTTTAGGGGGAATTCCAGAACAACTCTCCAGTTGATAAATAATTAATTCTGCTTTTACTTTTCACACTAGGTTTCTTATTGAGCCACAGCAATCTGTTAATTCATTACAGTTCAAAGAAATCAGGTGGAATCAAGTGTTTTAAATATTCACAATTAAATTCAGACTCTAAAATATCTCTTTACTTAATATTATTTATTTGTTTCACCCAAAGACAGAGAATGTGCATTAACAGTAGAGATTGTTGCACAATGCCATTTTTACCCTTGAGAGTAGTGCCAGTGTTTTATTTGTTGTCTCACTATGGTGAGCAGATCATAGTCTGAGCTTGTGGACAGTCTTTTTGCCACGTAGCAGCTGCACTCTCACCATAATCAGCACCTCTGTTATGCCAGTGGCAGAACAAGATACTGTATAAAAGCAGAACAGGGTATGAAATAATAATTTCCGCTGGAAAGTCTACAAATATGTAACATAGAATAGAGCTAAAAGCAGGAAAATTGATAACAGTGTGCAACTGAAATTGAAAGTGAGGCAAGGGGTTTCCACACTAAATGGTTATTGTAATCTATGTCCACTGACTTTTTGTAAAGGCAACAATTAAAGGAAACTGGTACCAGCTTTAATATGTGACAGTCAACAAACTAAGTGCCCCCTGACATGTCAATGTGTGTTCGGCTATTTTGACTTAATAAGGGTCAAGTGTGCCACCAGAATAATTATAATATATTTCAGTGATCAGTTTATTGTTTATCTAAAAATATGGTACTGATGTGCCTCAGTTAAAATGTTCACCAACTTTTTAAATTTTTAGATGGTTGACCAGTTCTTTCAATTTGACACAGCCCGAACTTGAATGCATTTATGGGGACTAAATCAGACTCTTTGTTTTTGTTACTAAAATTTTAGTTTCAGTGTTATATGCTACAAGACATCAGATCACATTTCATTCTGAGACTTATAAACTAAGATTTAACTACAATTAATGCAATTAAGTCATTAAGTTATAACATTACACATCATCTACAGGGTCAATTGACTGCACTGAATATATCTTAACTGATTAATTGTGTATCTAGACTTGTCATGAATGTTTAGTTTTCAAATAAAACCAAAAAAGGGAGAAAAGATAAGTGTTCAGCATTTATGATTAAGTCCTCAAGGTGGAGCCAAGAGATGGTTAGTCGGCTATCAAATAATTCAATCGTTTACCTCCATTAGGTGGCGCTGCTTAGCAAAACGTGAATGAAGTATTACTCAGCTGAGCATAGAAGAAGCGTCCTCCCCCTACGACTTTGACGTTTAGCAGCAGCGGCTGTGTTGACCTTCCTACAGCAGCGTGACAAACTGAAAGGTAAGAGAAGAGTTACTTATTTAGCAGGGTGGCTTTATCCTTAACAGAAAAGCAATTGTTTTCTCACGACAGCAATATAAAATGAAGCTTTCCTCTCTGTGTACTATGGCTCTGTTTGCTACTTTTTGGAGGTGTACTCAGCTAGGTAGCCTAGCTTCTTGCTAAAGCTAATTAGCGTTCTTTCCTGGCACTGCAGCAGAGAAGATGCTAACACGCTAGTTAGAAGCAGTTCATTCATTTAAGTAGTTAGCTTGTCAAATTACATGAACACAGTATAAATATAAACTATGTGTCCGCTTATACATATTCTTTTTCTTCGTGTTACGGACTTGCATACATCTAATGCTAACACTTACTTCAGTAGATGCGAGGTTGTAATGTTAGCAGAAACATTAGCGTTAGCCCACTTGGTTAACTTATCGTCAGGTAAGATAAGTTATTGGACACGTCAATTAAAAAAACGACTTATTTTGTTCCAGTAGCAGAGAAAGCTGATAAATGAGAGGAGAGTATTGCTAGCTTACCCTTTCTTTTGATCACTCTTTCCAAGCTGGCCAAATTCATTAGCTTGGCCCGATACAGCTGAGGTCAAGGTATCCTTTACGTGTTCAATGTATTACACTGAATATATATTTATGAGCAAGTAAATACAATTCCAATTAGTTCTGTCCGGTAAGCTTAAGAGCAACACATTAGTAAAATGGTAGAATTTGGATGAAGTTTGATGTGGTTTTTCTCCGAATAAGAATGCAATGCACTTTGGGCCAGGTCCTCTGATGTTCCAGCCCATTCTATGAAATAAACTGCTATTTGAGGTTGTGTCATTGTAACGACCGAGTGCGTGAGCATTGTTTTGACTGCACGTCTGTGCTTTCTCCCACAGATGGCTGGACGTATGTTTGCAAATTGGTGGGCCAAGATGGGCCCTTACTACACAAAGGCATACCCTGAGATGTGGGTTGGTCTTGGCATCATGACTTACCTGTACTACAAAGTTTCCTATGGGGGTGAGTTTAAGACTGATATGTTTCACAAATTTGGTAGCATCTTCCTGATCCTATACCGTAGTTAACATTAACTATAGTGGGTTGAATAGATTGAAAAGCAACCAGTCTTTGCACCTATTTGTGCAGGATAAGATGGATTCTTTTGTAAACATCAATAAGTACAACACAACAAAGGCAGCTCTCCTCACTGTCAGCACATCATGTTGTAAGATAAGAATATTGAAGTTGGAAACGGGTGTTAAATAAAAGTGATTTTCATGGTGCTGAATAACTGCCATGATCCTGTATCATTAAACACCACATTAATTGTCAGGGCTTGGGTTACTTCAATATATTGTAATACTCAGTGATATGGGCTAATGTGACTAATACAATGTTTATTTTTTCATTCTAGGCAAGAAAGCTGTGAAGGCCAGTAAGTAGCCAAACATTTTTTATTATACTATGTAATCAGGGTTGGACAGTATGACTATATATACTGCGAAGCAATATTAATTTGTCTACCATCAGATTTTGGTCTATCATATATACCATGGTGGTAACTATCCCTAATGACCTCTGATCTCTGCATGTATTGTCCTTTATGGGCAATGTTGCAAAGCAGGACAGATTTCTGGCAGCGAAGTTATTTCATAAATGTATCAGCTATTCAATTTACTGGATTAGCTAAGTAGTAAATGACTGCTCATTATATCTATGAGAAACTTATTTTCCAGATAATTTTCTATTTTATGATATATAGCGATATTATTATATAGATAGTATAAGATTTTGTATACCATGATACTGAATTCTGTCCATATTGCCCACTCCTGCAAGTAATATAAAAGTACTAGCTGGATCAGAGACAAAAAGTCTTTCTATGAACTTGAACAGAAAAAAACATTCTGCCATATACTTGTAATGAGAATTTACCCTGGATTTAGGATTAGGGTTCAGTTGAAGACAACAAACAGCAGTAGCACAAGGCCTGTGAACTCATTTGACATATTTCCTCAATCTACTGTATGTTGTCTAAATAGGTCATCAAAATTGAAAAGAAAGGTGTGTTAAACACAGCCGTTAGAGAGGTTATGTAAACCATTAGTCATTACCCTCTATCTTGGGTTTCTTCAACACACAAGAAGTTTTGTGGGAAAAGGTTGCATCAGTGAACATGAGCTTTGCTGCAGGGAAATTCAAGTCCAAGAATCATGTCAGATATTGTGCAGTTTCATGTGCTTTCCTCTAGATGTCAGTGACGGATGACATGTAGAAGAACATTACTGGCTGATATTTTAGTGGTCCAGGTGATCCTTGGTGCTGCCTATGCTTGGTTGAACAGGGTCTTAAATTAATCTATCTGTGTCATTAAATGTGTGCTTTTTTCCTTGTCCTCTCTTTTTGCAGAGCCTGCCCATTGAGTTTTCCACCATGCTGACAATCCCTCCACCTGCTGTGAAATAATGCCCCAGTCGCTAGTGAGAAGTCCATCTTCATATTTGAATTTTTGTTAATATGGAACAAATAAATAAAAGTTGTTATCCAAAACTTTGGTCATATCATTGACATTTTCGGAGTCATTTTGTATTACGATGGCCAGACAGTAATGTTACATGAGATTGTTTGTATTCAGCGGTGACTGTAGACAGGAAAAAAGCTTTTAACAAAATAAAGATAGGTGTGGGAATTAACCTCTGAACAACACTGAAATCTTAAACTCTTTGGTTGGTTCAATCCAGATTAAGTGGTCTTTTGGACAATTGTATCTTTCAATTTCAGTGTTTGCCATATCCTGTTGTGAGAGTGAAAACAGAATGAGTGAGCCATTAATGGCAAGTGAATCAGTTTGAGTTTACATTTTAACTAATTGAACAGACAAAATAAACCACAGCACTGCTATATTTGGTGTTGTGTTGGTTCATTTTAGGAAGCTAGACATCACAAATTCAACCAAATATTTGTGATTGGACAAGCCAACTTGATAACCTGCATTGATGCACATAACTCTAACAATAGATATTGTGAATAGTGCTGTAAGTTACAATGGTAGATTTAATATCAGTTATATAATTCTTTGGAACTGCTCACTCTGGGTTATGGCATGAAGGACTGCAGCATCACAACTGGTTTGCTGGCGAAAATCAATAGCAAATGAATCAGTTTCTGTTTACAGTTTGGTTCATTGAACTGAGAGCAAGCTGACCAGAGTCCTGCCTGCGGCCAGAAGTTTAGTGCTGGGTGACGATGTGGATAAACTGATTCCACTTCTGCAACACATCACTACTGTCCATTTGAGCTGGTGACAAGGCTTATGTGTAAAGGTGTTCATGCTTTATATAGACTGCACAATTACTTCTGCTTACTTCACCCAAGTTGTGTCAAAGCTAAAGATAAAATCCAACCCAAAACAGGTTTAGGAGACCCCTGTCATACAACTCTGTCTCTTGGTGATATCACAGATGCAGTAGTCTTTTAGTAGCGTGACCCTCTTGGGACTGAGATTAATTGATTGCTTTTTGATGGGAGGGATGAGATACGGGTCTGGTGTGTAAGCACTCATGTATTTGCTACATCATTAAATAAATGTCTGCTCTGAGTGTCTAGGGCAGCTGTCATTGTTGCTTCTTGCTCCTATAGTGCCAATTATGCCATGGATGTCAAAACATACAAAGCACATCCCCCATAAAAAATGTCTTGGCCTGTAAATTAGATTTTCCACATACAGTCTTAAGTACATCAGCAAACTGCATGTGAGTACAAAATGTAGTGAACTGGAGGTGTAGAGCAGCCTATAACAGGAACAGCCAGTACATCACTAGAGTAGATGTACTTGTTCCACCCTGAAAAGACCAAACTCACATTCAGGAGAGACAACTACAAATGACACGTCATTCATTCATTTGCTTTTTGCATTTATATGGTCATTTTGGTACTTTTACATCTCTTTTCAGTTGTTTTGCATCTTTGCGGTCAATTTTTTTTAAAGGTTGTTTTGCCTCTCTGTTATTGTATCGTGTCTCTTTTTGGTTGCTTTGCATGTCTTTGTGTGTCATTTTGTATCTTTTACCAAAGCTCTGTGACTTTCAAACAGGAAATATAAGTCTCCTCAGGCTCTTGCCCATGAGTCCACCGATCTTTTGGGCTCCTGGGCCTGTACCTGGTAGGCCTGTTCAGTAATCCATCCATGCTTACATGCCATCTCTGTTATTACAAGCCAGAGAAGGTTGAGAAATCCTGCCCAAAAAGTCCCTCCTGCTATCGTTCCACCTACGCACCTGTTCAGATTAATGTGTGTGGACAAAGCGGTCTAATAATTAATGGGAAAATCATCATGAAGATACAAGGCAGGTTATCAAACAGTAATCTTGGAAAGATGGACGGGGGATTTCTTTACGTGTTTGTTTGATTTTTTTTTTTTTTTTTTTTTTACAGTGACAGTTATAAAAAGTACAACATCCAACTTTTGCTTTGCTATTTCGTTCACGTGTATGTACGGGGGTGGTGGACAAAAACTAAATGACAGAGGGAGAAAGAGAGAGGGCTCGCGCTCCCTCCCACCGCTCGTGCGCAACGACTGTGACTGCGCTCCCTCTTTCCTACATTCAAACATGGCGAAACTCTTTGCCATTATACCACCACCATCACCCTCATCCTCCTCCACTTCATCGTCATCGTCGCCACCAACACCACCACCATCATCATCATCATCATCTTCACTATCATCATCACCATTATCTCCGGTACCGTGATGACCCGGGAGGATGGAGAAGTTGTCGGCGAGCCTGTCGGAGATCACTTGGAGCCCGTTGGCGCTGCCGTTGGACGCGGTGGTCAGCAAGTTCCGTCTACCCACTCTGGTCCGGCTGGCCCACGGTAAGAGACGATCCTCACTTGGGGCTTCGACCGCGAGCACGACCGTTAAAAACTTTCAGGGCTGTTTGTATATTCTTTTGACAACTGTTAGCTAATTACCGCTCCTCCGTCGCCTCACTGCCCAGAGGTAAGACAACTGTGACAGATATGAAGATGGACAACGATAAATATGGATTTCCAGTAAGGAAAAGTGAAAGACTTAAACTTGTCGAGTAAGGTGTGTTCCTATGGGGTTTTGTGGGTGTATCAACGCTGGGATGTGATGACAAATGAATCATTTTAGTGAAGAATCTGTGGAGCGTTTTGGTAGTGTCAAGGTTGTCAGGAAAAGTTTCCGCTTCCGGTCAAAAATTTCAAAATAAATCCTTAACCATAACAGAATGTTTTTTAATAAAGGAAAGCTTTTTAGAGATAAATTAACTTTTAAATGATAAAACAAATTAATAAGTGTAATTAACTAATAGTAGCTTAGATGGTAACCTTGTACTATCTTTGCAAAGAAATTTAGGCAGTAATATTCACATGGGGATTAGAACTGAAACAATCAATTGATTAATTGACTAATCAAGTGACAGACAATTAGCCACCAACTATTTTGATAATGGAATGATGATTTAAGTGAATTCCAAACAAATATACCAATTAATCTCACAGCTTTGGCTTTTCCAATGCGATGAGTTGCTTCTTCTCTGTGTTTATTATTAATGTAAACTAGAAATAATCTGCAAAATACTAGTTAAGAACAGGGTTGTTAGTTGCAGCCCTGAAGGGGATACCATTACAGTTTAAAGCATAAATTTAAATGAATTTGCAATGTGTATATAGAAGGTTGTGTCTTCTAAAGAAAAGATAGTCAAATAAGTGTTACTTAATTTTCTAAAATTATGTTTGATGGTCTCTCACTAACTAGAGGTTAACAACTTTGTCTAGGTAGGCAACATCATCACGTTAATGGCTGATGAAAAATGAAACTACCGATTCCAGTAAGTTACACACAGTATTATTACGTTTACTAATGTGAGGTTGGGATGTTTTATACAAAATAACACTTAAGAGATTATAGTCTCTCTCGGCTGTTTACAAGCCTGTATTATACTATATTATACTACTATATTGATCAGATCAATTAATTAAACAGTCCCTGGCACTTAGCGAACACTTTCTACAAGTGACAAACAGCATAAATCACTTAAGTCAAATATGTGAATTTTTGATGCCTGATGTACTTTGCAATTGTAGCATTACTTTTCACTATTGGCTGACAGGTCCAATAAATATGTAGTTCAGATTTGCTTTGAATTAGAATGGCTTTACCGTGTATACATTAGTCAGATCAGTTATGTTTTTGTTCATCACATACAGTATTTTGGATATTATTGATGTCATCTGACAAAATATTAAAGAAGACATTTCTAATGTTCCTATCAATGACTATACTTCTTTTGGTTCAAGGTGTGCAGTATTTTAACAAGTTTTATTGACTGTACCCCACTCCCTGGCTACATTTGGTGCTCTTATTTTGAAACCACCATGGCCTTATTTCCGTAATTTTTTTGGTTAAATCTGGCTACCTTGATGCAAGCTGCAGCAATTACACAGACTTTCATAGTTCACACTAACCCACTGACTTGGATAAGAGAGTCATTATTTAACATTTGTGTTCAGTTTTCTATTTATTTGTGTTGTGTTTTCGTGCCAACATGATTCTCCACTGAACCAGATTTGGTGGCTTTACTTTGGGAACGGGCGATGGGTGTCATGGCCAAAGTTGTTCCAGTCCAGGGAGGCCCGGAAAGCCACAAAGTGTCTGTTGTGCTGCTGAAGTGCTGCTCAATTCTTTTCATATGTAAATGCTGTAATCTGTCGGTGAATGTGGTGAATACTAACGAGCAGCGACGAGGAGGAAAAACCTCCGACTTTCCCTGGTGGACAAAAGCGCGCACCCGAGCCATGTCATGGTCCCCGAAAATTACGCACCTTATTTCTGCCGGCGCGCGTGTGCGTTGTATAGAGGGGGCACCCGGAGGTGTATATTAACCGCAGTGTAGCTAGCCCACAGATGCCTGCTTGTTTGCACAGGCAGCCAACCCAGATGATGGTTAGTTATTTACAACAGGGTATGATGTAAGCATTTCGTACTGACATCCATTTAAATCTTATTAACAGCAACAACAATGTTTTATCTGGGGTGTTCAGTTGGTATGCTATGTGTGTGTGTGTGTGTGTGTGTGTGTGTGTGTGTGTGTGTGTGTGTGTGTGTGTGTGTGTGTGTGTGTGATATGTCTGACTTGGGTGAACTGAACCTTATACAGCAAAAACTTTGATGTGCTCACCAGCCAGAGCGAACTGAGACACACAGATATGATTTTAGCGTCAAGTCTCAAGTGACAATGAGCTAAACTCCCAATAGAGCAAAAAGGTCCTCTGACGATCATTATCTTTTCATCAGAGCACCTGTTGTGTTTCTACTTACAGACTCTTCTGTTTCTATTCAGCCATCCATCAACATGACTGTTAGACTAAAAGGTTTGG